AGTTCGTCTATACCACCCGGGATACACTCCTACAGGAATGACATACCATGGGACACCTGCTCAACAGGTAAGAAGGCCAGTCCACAAAGCATACCACCGAAGTGCTTCACTGTTGAGTTGTTCTTGTACTCCTTCATCAGGTCAAGCTCTTGAATCTTCCTCCATGTCGACTGGGTAAGATGGAAAAAACATCCTTGGACAGACACATGGGCACCAAACACAGCTCTCAGTGCATTCATTGGACCTCACTCAAAATCCATGATCACTTTCGTGGGATCTCCACTATAGCCAAATTCCTCACACTTGCTCTCTATGACCTGGAACAACAGTACATGTTCTGTGTCTTGAGGGAGAGGAGGGCATAGACACAGGTGACAGGTGAGTCGGTCACTTCAGCTCGTATGACTTAAATCTAAGGAGAAGCAACCTTCCATATACCATGTTGATGATGCAGCAAGAACTCTTAGTGTTTCTGGGGTGGCGAAGACGGTGATTCTCTGGTTTCCAGATTCAGCAATAGTGTCGTGGATGATGAAGGGTCTGGGAGCACTGCCACCTGTGGTATTCCAGGGCTCTTCAAACTTCAGGTCTGCCAGGGATTGGGGTTCTGGAGGATAAGATGCAGACTTGTGTCGGCGAATATTACTCTTCAGACTGTCAAGTCTACCAACTTCTGCTTTTACTTCATCTGATGCTGAGTGAAGAGCATTTGCAAGTATCTTCCCAGGCTTGGCAAGAGCTACAGGAACAGTATCATACAGTTTATTCTTGAACTTGGTGATATTGACGTTAGTAGTGTTAGAAGGATGATTGTGTTCCTTTATCACAATCGGATCTTAAATGGGTGGAATTTTGCAAAGTTTTTTTTTTTGTCATGGGGACATGTAGCCTAGGGTTTTTGTCCAAGGGCTTTTTGTCCCAGTGGGCTTATTGTCTGCCCACCAATGACGTCTCAGTCACGAATATGTTCCGGAGGTGCGTAATTTGTCCCCGCACTGGTAAGTAATTTTGCGTGCCAATGAGTAAATTCGCGAAAACTGTTGTGAGGTGTGCGTGCCAGTTCTGGTACACATAATCTTCCTGCCACTTGCGTGAACTAGTCGTGAAACCTAGTCTGTCTGTCTGTCTGTTATCTAAGGACGAAACTGCAGCTAATCGAAAGATTGGAGAGAAAGTGTGAGTGTCCTCGACAGCTTCATGCAAAGTACAGATCTTCCATGTTCCTCCATATGAAGCACCACCCTCTGCCCAAACATCAACATACAAGAACTTGTATCCAGCATCTGCTGTGGACGCCCTTATAATTGTAGTAGAATGATCCAGCTTTGGCTTCTTCACAGCAACACCCTTGCCGTCCACAGCCCCAAGACACTTGTGGCAGTGCCATCTGGAACTAAAACCTTCAGCAACCGCCATCCACTCCTCTTCAGTTTTGGGGCACTTGAGTACTTCCTCCTTGTGGACTTCAATGATGTCTTTGCAGTTCCAAGCTTGAGTCGCACCTCCAGCGGTTCTCTCATGAAAGTGGTCAAGATTGGTTCACAAGTCTTGGTTAACAAGTCAGAGACATTCTCAGGATCTTCCTTGTGGAGTTCTGTCAGTACTGATAATAAAGTCCGAAGTGATGTCTTCTAGTCAACCATTCCCTCACACAAACTGTCCTTTCTTTCCTTTTTCTAGTTTGGGTTACGTCTTCTTCTTTGGTCTGCTCTTGCTGCATTGAACAGTGTCATCATTATATAAGGTCATTGGCTCCCTCCCTCTGCAAGCCGTCTGCGTTCTGCTGTTTATTTTGTTGACAGTTACATGGACAGATTCTTTAATACAAATGCATAAAACCGGTGATTTACAATGTGATTAGGTTGTCTGAAAAAACATCCACTTGCACAGTTTGAGATCCATTGGATCATTGTATGAAGACATATTTACAAAAAAACGGGTCCACATGCATTTCATGCCAAACTATAGCATGAAATGCATGTACTGCCTTTATAGGCACAAGGGGTCATATCAAAGATATTTTGTGCTTTTCATGTGTGCTGACTATGTCTCATCTATTGATTAACATCTTACGTGTCTCTTTCTTTCATAAAGTTTATGTTGAGATATGTAAAGGGTATGATACCTGATAACCATAGAAACGCATCGTATTACATGTCTCAAAATATATAGGTGGCATGACCACCCAATCGCGAAGATCGACAGGACTGGATAATATACTGAGACAAAAAAGAAACTTCACAAAATGTAATTTGAAAAATAATGAATAATTTTTCTCTGAAGATACATCTATGTATCCGAAATGGCAAAACCCACTCAAACCCGTTAGCAAAATCCACTCAAACCCATCCATCCGTTCGTCGTGCATCAGGTTTTGCACGTGCAGTCGATCACGTGATCTTCGCATCGAAGTTTTCTTCATATGCATGTGTTTGCATTGACCTCAAGAATTGAAAAACACTTTTATACCACAGTTCTAACGGTACTTGAAATGCCACAATTGTCAAATGTGCAACGTGAACGTGTCGTTGGCATGTTGCAAGCGGAAAGATCAGTTATTGACGTCGCAAGAGCAATGGGATGCAGCCGTCGTACTGTGTATGACTTGCGAGGTCGCCTACAACAAACTGGCACCACTTCTGATCGCCCAAGGTCGGGTCGTCCACGTGTGACGTCACGAGCAGAAGACCGTCAAATCGTCCTACGTCACCTACGTGACAGATTTCTGCCGGCTACACGGACCAGGGCTGAGATGTTTAGAGGTCGACTGTCCTCACAGACCATTCGAAATCGGTTGCGGGCTGCCAACCTCCATTCTCGACGTCCATATCGTGGGCCAATATTGGCGCCGTTTCATCAACGTCAACGTCTGCTGTGGGCCCAACGTCACCTCCGATGGACTCAGAGAGACTGGAATCGAGTCGTCTTTAGCGATGAATCCAGGTTTACCCTCATATTCGCGGACGGCAGGCATAGAGTCTGGAGACGACGTCGTCGTGAACAGTATGCCCAATGTTGTGTACAGGAAGTCGACAGATTTGGGGGCGGAAGTTGCATGGTGTGGGGTCCCGACTTCCGGTCATCCGTGGAAGCCTCACAGCTGCTGCTTACCGCGACCAGGTGCTCACCCTTTAACTCGTTCCTTTCATGGCGGCTCATGGCCCAGGTCTACAGTTCCAGCATGATAATGCTCGGCCGCATACCGCGATGTTGACACGAAATTTCCTTCAAAACACTGGAATCAACGTCATGGAATCGAGGTCATGGACTGGCCATCGAGGTCCCCTGACCTTAATCCAATAGAGTACGTTTGGGGTGCACTTGGGAGAAGGCTTCGTGGTCTTAGGAACCATCCTCAGAATTTGCATGAACTTTGCGCTGCCTTGCAAGAACAATGGCACAGAATCCCCAGCCACGTGTCCACAAGCATCAGGCAGTCGATGAGGAGACGGTGTTTGGCAGTGGTGACTGCGCGGGGCGGCCATACACGATATTGAACTGAGAAATTTCGCATTTTTATTCTTGTGACTTGACATTCTGTATACCCATGTTTTGGAACGGCGGTGTAGCCCAATGGAACTGATTATGGCACTGTCAGTGTATCGAGTACATCACACAGATCTCAGCAATGAAATAATAACAATTTAACCATCTTACCATCTCTTGTTCTTTTATAGTGCCCTGAAGAAAGAATGTGAAGTTTCTTTTTTGACTCAGTATATTTGTAAACTGTTATTACATGCCGTGTACTTCCCCAGTATAATTGCCCTAAAGGATTATCTTATCTTAGCTGATATCTCTATCCCCCAGCCCGACCCCAACGATCGTCTGTGACACCCCTCCAGGTTTGCTTATGAGACGAACCCTCCTATCTGTTTCTTTTTATAGTGACAGTGAGACTCCATGATAGTTACATCCTTAATAGTTTCAGCATGACAGTTATTATTTTTTACACCAGCTATCGTTTATAATGAAGCTACGTCTAATTTCAAAATGGGCATTTAAAAAGTGTCCTTTGTAATCCAAAATCGTCGCACACTAATTTGCATAAAGCCATGGTCTGTTCCAAATAAATCGTTTTGGACTTAGAAAAAACCCGCGTTGCTCATTTCTGCACTTATCTCTCCTCAGTAAAGTCCTTTTTTCTGAGACTGTAGTTAGGCCGAACTTAATTTAACATATATTTCACACTTTCACATATCAACGACATAAATTGTAGAGATAAATGAGCAAATACAGTTTTTTTTCTATTAACGACAGTACTTTTTAGGGACCATGGGGACTTACAGTACATTTGCGTCCTGCATGGACTCTAGCTGGATTTACACCATCCCTTCAGCCGTTAGCAATTTGACAAATTTAGCCATACATTAAAAGAACAAGTATTCTACGATTAATAAGTGGAACGTTTTAATTTACTTCGAATGTTTTGGGACTTACGTACCCTCTCAGGAGGACAATAATTTTACAGTACTTTAACCCCCCTCGGGGATACAGCCACTAACAATCTTAGTTACTAATTCAAACTTCCGAGCATAAAATATTTATGTATTTACAAATCATTTAACAAATCTAATTCTTTTAAAAATGCAATAATTAAAGGAGAACTGACATTTTTAAAAAGAACCTTCCTTGTTCGTGATTTGAAATAGATATCCCTTGTGATGGAATATTCTATTGGTTATTAAATATGTATATTTTAGTAATATGATTTGACTAGAAGCCATTTAAGAGGGGATACGGGCGGAAGTGTTTCCTTTACTATCAACATACTACTGAAATAAGTAATAAGAATTACCATTGAGAGCTCGTACTTTGTACTCCCCCGTCTTTACATAACCGACTCCAGTATTGAGTAAGGCTACAATTCGGGCAAGCATGGAAGACGCCTGTTACCATAATATCATGACGTCCAACCTAATCTGGTTGAGGTGCACTTGAACGGGAAACGTTCAGAATTGGTCACGTGATAGCATGACGGCAGTTTTGCATTCCTTCAGTGTGGTATGCAGTAATCGGGCGTTCCCTTACAAACATGGCCACACAGTCTCTAACATTGAACAATGGCTATAAGATGCCTCTTGTGGGTCTTGGCTCCTGGCAGGTAAGTCTTACTAATACAGGGGCGGTTACAGCGTTTTGAGAAAGGGGTGTGGGTGTGGTGGGGGTGTGGTGTGTGGCACACTAATGCGAAAGGAGTGTTTCAATGGTCATTTAATAAACTTTCAGGACATAAAGGGGATGCGCACCCCTGCACCCCCACCCCACCCCGATCCGCCTATGTTAAATATGAGAGAGAGAGAAGAGAGAGAGAAGAGAAGAGAGAGAGAGAGCATGTGAACTCGTCCAGACCTACTTGACGATATGCAGCTCACACACTCACTCGCTCAAGAAGCAACCGTACGTTGACTTGCTACCAACTCACTCACCCTGGGACAACAGGTTGATAGACGAAGCACATCTGTTAATGTATCTACATCGCTGCAATAACATGGAATATCACCCAGTGCGGCATTAAAGAGGGAACGATGCTCACTCAATATCAAAACCCCATACCACATTATATACACTATATTCTACCCAGTGATAACTACTAACGGTGTAGAGTCTCCTACTCAGTCTTTCTGAATCAGGTTATAATAGGGCCGTGTCCGAACCTTCACCGGCGACAGGTACACGTAAAGAGAATATATAGGTCAAAAGATTAGGGAGCCGGTGTCTCAAGGACATGCTTGAGCCAGTATTTAGGTCAGCGGGCTTCCATACAGTATTGATTATGTCAACGTGTATGTCGGCTGGGGATATATACAGAATGAAAACAAAGTATACGTTGAGAAAAAAATATTCTGTCGGTTATATGATAATTGGATAGAGAGAGGAATCACTCGCTTGACAGAGCTACCAGTGTGTACCACCAACTCACAACAACACAAGATCTGTGTAAATAAATGATGAGTTTATTAGTCAGCCACTGATGATTTGTGATTGTCTGTCGTCCATATTTTATACCCTATTTTAACTATCATAGACAATAGTATTTACTCTAAAAAGTGACTCGGCGGGGTAGCTCTGTGGTGAAAGCATTCGCTCGTCACGCAAAGACTGGGTTCGATTCCCCAGAAAGTGCAATGTGTGAAGCCCATTCCTGGTGTCCTCCGCCGTGGTGTTGCTTGAATATTGCTAAAAGCGGCATAAAACTATACTCACTCACTCACTTAAAACTGACGATAAAGTTGTTGTTGTGAACGTCAGTGGCGCTGACAGAATAATATCATTTGACTGAAGCATTGATGATAAATGTGTACAATAGCTGACCAGTTGCGAGTATGCCACAAATGAATACATGACCAACGTTGAATCTGTCTTCAGTTACCCATGCTTGTCGTAAGGGGCGACTAACGTGATCGGGTGGTCTGACTAGGTGACTTGGTTGACACATGTCATCGTATTCCAGTTGCTTAGATCGATTTTCATGCTGTTGATCAGTGAATTGTCTGGTCCAGACTCGATTATTAGTTTTACAGACCGACGCCATATAGATGGAATTCGATGGAGTGCGGCCAACCAATATATTGTATAAGGCTGTACATACAGATGTAGTTAGAATACCGAACTCACTAACAGTATATTAATGAACAATTATGGACAGACGAAGAGAAAACAATTGACGGACGAAGAGACAATGACGTAGTTCGGGGCAATTGACGTTGGATTGCGAATACAGACACGATCCAGTTGATTGACCAATTGGCGGCTGGTACGTAAAGACAACAGCATGTGAAACACTCTGGATTTCCGTAACGATGTGACTCAACAATGTACGGAGACTTTGTCTAAAGCCACATGACTCAATAAATGGCTTTTTGGTTATGCCTGACTGGGTTTGGATCCTATACTACCCACCAAAACTTTAGACTCACTAGTGTAAATGTAGCCACTTACTTCAGTCAACGCTTCTGAACTAGATTTTGCGAAATATTCCACAATATTCCAAGGTACTGTTTACACATGAACTGATGTATTGTGAAACAAATTTGGTAACGTTGAAAAGATTATTGTCATGAATTCAATAAATGATGAAAATTGGCGAATTCTTAACAAAACTTTACACCAAAACGCAGCTGTTCACATGCACGATATTTGCACATGCTTTTCAGCAATATGATGCATGATCCTCGAGCAATTCATCTGCATAAGGTTTGCAGTTGGTTTCCCTAAGCCAGTGGAGAAATTCATCTTCGATGTAACCACATATATCTACATAACATATTGTGAGTGCTTTAAGTGAGTCTAAACTTTTGGTGGGTAGTATAGATTCGCTTTGATTTTGAATCCTGGTATCACATTGTATGTCTGCCTCTGTCACTGATGAAACCAAGCGTTTACTGATCCCTTTATTTCACAGGTTACCTCTCCCGAGGAGTGCAAGGACACTATCCGTGCGGCACTGGACGCTGGCTACAGACACATTGACACAGCCTACGCATACCAGAACGAGGCTTTCATTGGGGAGGTGCTCCAGGAATACTTCAAGGCCGGGAAACTGAGGAGGGAGGACATTTTTGTTACAACAAAGGCAAGATGAATATTCTCTTCAACATTAAAAACATCAGTGTTATTCAAATTGTTCTCTGAAACCAATGATTGATCTGATTCTGCACTTCACCTGTGCTCGTACGTGCTGAAGATCTAACTCACTTCACACTTTCCGATAACTTTCTACTTAATATGCTGTACCTGTGAAGATCCGGGTTGAAATTGATCCTCAGTAACCCATTCTTGTCATAAGAGGCCACCCGGTGGTCACGATCGTTTACTTGGTTGATACATAGACGCCCATTATATCAATCACTGGATTGTCTGGTCCAGGCTCGATTATTTACAGACTGTCGTCATACAGCTGGGATATTGCTGAGCCAATTGTGAAAACAAAGCATGTATACAGAGACACGACTGAAATTATGTTTAAGGTGGCGTAACTCGCTTACAGGTGAGATAATTAATTAAATGCTTAATATAAAATACACAAGGAAGTGTCTTTTGAAAGTGTTAGATACCGATTTGTATTTATTGCAGCTTTGGGTGACCTACCATGAGAAAGACCGAGTTCCCCTGTGCATCGTTGAAAGCCTTCAGAAGTTACAGTTGGACTATGTGGACATGTATCTTATCCACCTTCCTGTAGGACTGAGAGTAAGTGTTATTCCACATCCTGACAAATCAGTTTCTATGATATCTGCATTTACCTCATATACCAATATGTCAATGCTACTTTCTGCAGTACTAGATGGTTTTCAGCTCGTCTATGACCATCTGGCATCCGAAGAGAAGAACTGGAATAACCATACTTTCAAGAATCCGCAACTGACATTTAAGTGATAAATTCTATCTCCGTCCTTGGCATAAAAACTAGAACATATCTTCCAGGTTCTCTCAACCACCATCACACAAAGTAAAATGTTTAGTCAACTTCATTATGTCAAACGGGCTTCAGCTAACTTTGTACTCCAAAAACATTACTCCAGACTTTCCTTTACATTATGTCCATATGCTGGGATAAAACTTGTATTCGGAAACAGCTTGTATATTAAGTGACTTTCTTATTTTCAAACAATTTTTTTATGTTTTAAATTGAATTGACATTTAAGTGATAAATATAGTTTCCGTTCTTGGTAAAAGAAATAGCTTTTGTTGTGTGTTCTATTAAAGACCATCATACATATTCAGTGTATAATATCATGACAGTCGGGTTTCAGTAAACTCTCAATGTGTACAACTCTTTGTACTCTGAAAAACATGACTTATGGCTTTCCTTTACATTATGCTAATGTGTTGCAATAAAACTGAAATTCGAAAACAAGCTTGTACATTACGACTATATATTAATTCGGTGATTTATTTTCTCAAAAATGTTTTTTTAAGGTTTACAATAAATTCCGTTGGTATTCCGGGGTAATTGTCAGATCTTTGTCAAACAGGAAACAGGCAAAGGAAAACCTTTCCCACTGGATGAAAACAACACACCTGCATTCCAGGATGTTCTCCTGACGGATACGTGGAAGGTCAGACATCTCCTCCTACTAATTGATACTGTGTTAGTTTTCTAGGGAAAATGTGAATACAAACATATGTAGTTCTACAAATGTCTTGTTGTTGGATGAATGTAAGACCCTAAGGCGACTAACGGGATCGGATGGTCAGGGTCGCTGACTTGGTTGACACATGTCATCGGTTCCCAATTGCATAGACCGATGCTCATGCTGTTGATCACTGGATTGTATGGTCCAGACTCGATTATTTACAGACCGCCGCCATATAGCTGGAATATTGCTGACTGCAGCGTTGAAGAACAACCAATCAACCAAGATGAATGTAAAAAGGGAACATGTGCACTTCCTGAAAGGTGAAATTATCTTCTCTTATATATCATGTCATTATCATTGATGACATACGTATCAAAGTGTGAAATTATTACCTTTAAACTCGTTTCCTGTTATTAATATGCCCAAATGGCTGTTCAACCTATATAAATTACAACATGTAACTTAATGGTCTATTACAGGGGATGGAACAGGTGGCTCGCTGTGGCCAAGCCAAATCTATTGGTGTCTCAAATTTCAACATGGAACAGATTGAGAGGATATGCAAGATAGCTGAAATAATACCAGCCACAAACCAGGTACAGGGACACTTTTCAATAACATCAATTTGTGTTTTGAGGGTAAAACGAACGTCATTCCTCGAGGAGGAACAATGCCTCAGCCTTCATTGCTCCTATTGAGGAATATGCAAACTGTTTCCACAATTATGAGAAATCCCTGTATGGTACAAGTCAAAATAGGAAATTATTTTCTCTGTTGCGTCAGATTTGGAAAGATATCACAATAATACACAATGAACAAGTAATATGAATATTCAGTACACTATGTCATTTATACCACGTTAGATAAGATAAACATTATTGGACCTTTCACATTTGCAGGTTGAGTGTCATTTGTATCTCCAGCAAGAAAAGCTGTTTCAGTTTCTCAAGGAAAAGGGGATAACTGTTACAGCCTACAGCCCTCTTGGTTCACCAACTCGACCAGCTCACATGTAAGAATCTTTACTCAACAACTGTGACTAAACCCATATGATTCTAGTTGTAAAGTCATTTTGATTTGTTGTATCTGAATTAATGCAGTACATTGACAATATGGTCCTTTAAAGAAGAGAGACTATGAGCGATATGGAATGATGCCATTGAAACTTTGTAAACCACCACTTTACCACTTCATACACAGAAAGTATAACGTTACAAAATCACATCACATCTTCATCCTTATCCTCCCACAACCACCATCCCTATCACTCATACTCACCTCACTTGTGACGTAGTTTAATTTACGCAGTCAACACAAAAGGATGCTATGTATAAAGTGTTACGTTTTCTTTAATTTCCTATCAATCATGTTTACTAATACATGATTGTCCACGCCTTGTACCCAGACTGAAGGAAGGAGCTCCCAGAGTTCTAGATGACCCAGTTGCTAAGGATCTGGCCACAAAGTATAAAAGATCTGTAGGACAGGTATGTTACACTGACATAGGAATGATGTCCACATATGTGCATGTTGTTGTGATATGGAAAGCACGGCCGATGTGAATCCATTTTATTTATCAGTTTATTATTTATGCAGATTCTCCTCCGCTATCTCGTCCAAAGAGGCATGATTGTTATCCCGAAGAGCAGCAATCCTTCAAGAATTCTGGAAAACGTGAAGGTATTGTTCATTCCTTCATCCCATTCCTATCTGAAAGCAATTATAAGTTGATTCGTCAAAGTGTCAATTTTGTTTTCGAAAATTTTAATAAAAATGAAAACGTAAGTGACTCATTGTCTGTTTTTTAAACACAAATATGTCTCGAAGGGGAATTTGTAAAACAAGCTCTTCTCTTATTTTTCAAAGGTTTTCGACTTCGAACTGTCTGGCGAGGATATGTCAAAGCTTTCAGCTCAAGACAAGAAACTGCGTTTTTTTACCATCTTGGAGTAAGTTCAGTTTAAGTCATGTTTTAAAAAAACATAAAACATTTTCCCTCTTCGTTCACACATGATCAGTGTGTTTGGCTCCATGACAAATATGTTGTTCTTCTATATCTAGAAATATTCTAGCAACATCTTGACAGGAGGCAGAAGATCCAAGCTTACACATTGTTGAGTCACAAACTTTGAAATTATTGGTTTCCATCCATTTTCTGGTGATGAGCAACTAGGTTACCCCAACGCATCTGTTGCAATGAATATAGTAATGGTCATTTCCGAAAAAAGATATATGTTCCTTTTCAACTGAGATTCTTGAACACTCTGATGAATCCTTTCATTGTGCCTTTGATCCAAAAGAAAACTTTTCATTTCAGATTCAAAGGACACTCAGAATACCCCTTTGACGAGCCTCTCTGAAATGGGAAATGGCAAAACGGTTCCGAGAAGTCCTCCATTTGGACACAAATATCAAAAGTCTTTTCCTAGCAGTATATTCATATATAATATGAACCTTCATATATTAACCTCGGGTTTTTTAGTGTCTAACACATTTTCAACTTTTGCGGAAGTGGCGAAGTCACTCTACAAATAAAGAACATCTACAAAGAGATAATTCTACTTTTACCATAGTGGACCATGTAAGTATGTGCAGTAGGTTGATAAAAAGAGAAACAATCTATACTTATAAGAAATCTCTTCTGAAAGCTTGTGCATTGTGCAACTTCAAGAATAGTTCATTCAGTTGTTGAAAACATTTGAGGAACTTTGATCTTCTCGGGATTAACTCGCACTATGTAAACATCCCTGATGTGTGTTTAGCCATTTAAAAAATATACGCATGTATAAATATAGAGTAAGTTACGGTTTTCTATCTAAGGCTTGAACAGATCATTTCTCATGAGGGAAAGTAATATATTTGGTCCATAGCAGAGAAACTAGGTTCACATTTACCGGCCTACAGAGAGGATCGTACCTTTAAATCTGAAGAGTGTGGGCAGGCAATTAAGAAATGGCATTTTTCTTCAATATCAGTTAAATTGCAATGTTTACATATGCGATTCTGTATGTGAGTTAGTGAGTTACGTGGCGAGTATAACGACCAAGTACAATTTAAAAACGAAGTGTACTACTTCATGGTTTACCTTAGGTAGTGAGTACGTAGTTTTTAAAAAAAGTTTTTATATATTTTTTATTGGTTCCCAAGATTATAATATCACAGATATACAAAGCAGTGATACATACGGCTTTAATTGATGCTGCTACATGATTTAAAGGTATGATAATAATATATTAATATATTCATAAACATGCATAAATCTTTGCCAATAAACGTACAGATTATGTCAGGTACAAATCGATACAGTTCAGAGTCATCTAAGTCTGGGGATAGAAAGCTCCATTTGTGATTGAAATTATTTATTTTATTATTTTTGTTGATATATGATTTTCACAAAGTATATTTCCTTTAGAGTTTTTATATATAAAGTTAGATTTGGAAGCATATTTTTAATGCTGAATATGTGAATACGTCTCTTCGCGTCAATGATGATGTGATTTAGTATTCTATTTTCATGTAGAGTACCAAACCAAACACTGTTTTATTATAGTATCAATGGATGGGGATATAAATTGTTAGGCAGTGGGTATGTAGTTGTTTACATTAAGGTCCGAGGGAGTTGTCACCCCCAGGACCCGTTACACCATTCTGTTGCTGGCTGGTGGGTCGAAACTTAGTCTCACAAGTCGGGAAATATTGGTCAGCTTGGCTCTTGCTCTGGCGTATATCTGGTTTTAATGCACAAAGCGTATTAGCTCGGGTAGTATATTTTATAGCCTTGCTCCAAGGATTTACTGAATGGATGTATAGTAATTCTATCCTTTAAAGAGGCAAGTCTAGATTAGCGGACAGTACAAGGACGCCAGACTGTTATTCATAGTTTTTTTAGAACTTTTCATTTAAACTATTTATTTGTACTTTAAAGACTTGTGCAAGTCCATATATTTCACAGCCCTTCTTTATAGTCTTAAACAGCTAATCTTATCAGCGCTGCCACCACCATTTTCTTGATACAAGTCAAGATGTGTTTGTTTGTTTGTTTAACTTTCTCAGAATCAATAATAATAGAACTGTGTGTTTGTACCAGTTTTGTCAACACATTTGTCTCAGAGGCACAGCTTCGTGACATATGTTTATGAACCAAATAATTGTGATACCCGGTGTACCTGTAAAGATTAACGTAGCTCGGCCTACCTATGGTAAACGTCATAAACACAAGAAAAGGCAAGTCAGTTGTTCACCTGAGAAAACACGGGAACATGACTGAAGTCCACATAGGGAATTGAGGTATTTTGGTCAATAATGCGTCAACTTGGAAATGAACGCTTCATGATTACCTTTGATATAAATAAATTTCCTCTTTTCAATTTGCTGTGTTGACTGTTTTTATTTTACTGATTAAAATCTTATCCCCTGTGCATATTATATATCTGATTTTGTAATCTATCGCGTATGTACTGCATATTAAACCCAACGCTGCACAAGAGTCAGGTTCAATACTCATATCAGCTTCATACAGGCAAGTATTCGAAGAAGAGAGAGAAAGTACAACGATCTATACATCTTGAGGATCAAGATGTTTCTCGAATACTTATTTCAGTAAGACGCTAGCCCGGGAATCATTCCTCACATGGCTACGATGTTGTTTGGTGTTTGCTTTGACATGCTGTACATTTATGATGGCCAGCAATGGTCAAACAGAAACGTTCAATCATTTAAGCAACTGGTAACAAAGGAGACCTGAGAGACCTGAAACTCGTGACCTTCCTATGTTATCTGACCTCGCTTTCGCTCGGTCAGATACCATAGGAAGGACACTCGTTTCGTATAATTCGTATGTAATGAGACCTCGTGTAGTATTCTCTATGTACGTCAGAGTTATATAGAGAATATCACCCTCGTGTCTTCTGATATCAAATATATCAACACGAGTTGATTAAAGTTGCAACTTTTTACTTTAATCAAGGAGTGTTGGTATATTTGATATCAGATGACACGAGAGTGAGATATTATTTATCATCCAAAATAATTAATTCTTCATCAGTTATCAGTAGAAGAATGACTTTATCTAAACACCAAACTGCCATTAGGCTTTTTTAGCAGTGATCTCAGTGAGGTCATGGCATTGTGATGTCATCAACTATGTAGCATTGTCAACTGTGTTCTTAGTGATGTCATTTGAAGCATTGTGAGGTCATGAACTGATGATGTAATAGAATTATGACAGTTCTACAATGTACAATGTGTGTGTATTTCAGCAGTGTATAATAGTACATTTACAAAGAAATCCATGAAATAATGACTCAAAACGAATTTCCCTCTTGACGTGATGGGACCGCCTCCCTGGCGTAGTGGTTAGAGCGTCCGCCCAGAGAGCGGAAGGTCGTGGGTTCGATCCCCGGTCGCGTCATACGAAAACACGTTAAAGTATGGTACTTGTTGGTCCCTGCCTGGCGCTCGACATTAATGGGTACAACAAGGACTGGTCGGCTCGGAGTTAGTATAATGTGTCTCAGTGGGGTATTCATGCTTCACTGCGGCATGGTATCTCAGTGAGCTTAGCACTATAAAACCAGCTTAAGTCTGGGCTAGTACAAGCAGCCGCATATACACATACACACGCATGCACGTCGTCATATGAGCGAAATATTCTCAAGCACGACGTTAAACCCAATTTCACCTCACCTCACCTTGACGTGATGGAGATAAAGGTGTCAAAACGCATGAAACGCCCGTGCATGCACACACACATTACAACAACGTTCAATATACAAATATCGTGACATGTAATTGCAACAAATAAGAACATACGGCAACAGGCACATAACACCATCGATAGTGATTATTATAACAGAATTATAATCCAGCTTACATACTAATCATGTATCTTACTAGAGATGACAACCTATACATACATCATGATAACAATGAATGATGCGGAATGATAACCTACATCGAAGAAGAAGATCAGATATTTAGGTAAACTTATGCGGAATTGGGAGGGGATTAATGTTTAGCAAGCAACTAGGTCAGCGTTATGCTCAAACTCCGATATGGGGAATACAAATGATATAAATCATTATCCAATTCTAACCAGGATTTCCATGGATGCTGTAAATACTAAATCAAGCCTAAATAATAAAGAGGACAACTAACAAGAAAACTGATTTCGTCCTCGATTTCGCTGCTATGCTGATATTTAGAGTTACAATATTTAGTCAATTTTGAGGCTTCATTGCCTGCGTTTGCAAGGGCGAAAATGTCCATTCTAGGATTCCATAGTTTTCGTGTGTCTAATGCAGTGAAGATAGGTATGTACAGAGTCTACAGACAGACATGTAATTAAATGTTACAAATGTTATATTTAATATTACACTTTCCCAGTATCGCGTGACCAATTAAATGTTGCCTAGTTGTTGTTACCTGTCGCAACCGTCTAAATATTGGTTATTGAATATGTATATTTTGGTAATATGATTTGACTAGAAGCCATTTAAGAGGGGATACGGGTGGAAGTCTTTCCTTTAATATCAACATACTGCACGATCGAAATAAGTAATAAGAATTGCCAAGACCTCGTACTTTGTACTGCCCCGTCTGTACATAACTGACTCCAGTATGGAGTAAGGCTACAGTTCGGGCAAGCATAGAAGACGCCTGTTACCATTATATCATGACGTCCAACCTAATCTGGTTGAGGTGTACTTAAACGGGAAACGTTCAGAATTGATCACGTGAGGCCATGATAAGGGCAGTTTTTGCATTCCATCAGTGTGGTTTGCGGTAATCGGGCGTTCACTTACAAACATGGCCACACAGTCTCTAACATTGAACAATGGCCATAAGATGCCTCTTGTAGGGCTTGGCTCCTGGCAGGTAAGTCTTACTAATATAGGGGCAGTTACAGCTTTTTGAGAAAGGGGTGGGGGGTTGGTGTGTGTGTGCACACTATTGAGAAAAGGAGGGGTGCACACTTCATTTTCACCCAAGTTTCAATGGTCACTTAATAAACTTTCAGGACATAAGAGGGGTGCGCACCCCTGCACCCCCCTCCCTCTTGATCCGCCTATGTTAAATACCAAAACGTGGTGGCGTCTGACGAAAGGGTTCATAAAATCACGCAACTATGACAATCAATTTGGGACAATTATCTTTAACGATACAATCTATAAAGACCCTGAAGAAATCGCAAATGTTTTAAACAATTACTTTATCGCTCAGTCGACTATTGCAGATCCAAATCGAGTTTTGCCCGATACCGAGTTTCCTTGTAACCCATAATTAACTGACATCACTCTAACCCGCGATAACGTCAGAGATATCTTAATGTCACTGGGCACATCAAAAGCGAAATCTTAACAAAATTTTACACCAAAACGCAGCTGTTCACATGCACGATATTTGCACATGCTTTTCAGCAATATGATGCATGATCCTCGAGAAATTCATCTGCATAAGGTTTGCAGTTGGTTCCCCTAAGTTAGTGGAGAAATTCATCTTCGATGTAACCACATATATTTACATAACATATAGTGAGTACTTTAAGTGAGTCTAAACTTTTGGTGGGTAGTATAGATTCGCTTTGATTATGAATCCTGGTATCACATTGTATGTCTGCCTCTGTCACTGATGAAACCAAACGTTTACTGATCCCTTTATTTCACAGGTTTCATCTCCCGAGGAGTGCAAGGACACTATCCGTGCGGCACTGGACGCTGGCTACAGACATATCGACACAGCCTACGCATACCAGAACGAGGCTTTCATTGGGGAGGGGCTCCAGGAATACTTCAAGACCGGGAAGCTGAGGAGGGAGGACATTTTTGTTACAACGAAGGTAAAATGATTATTCTCTTCAACATTAAAACATCGGTGCATTTCGGATTTGTTCTGAAACCTATGATTGGTCAGATTCTGCACTTCACCTGTGCTCATGCGTTCTACTCCACTTAAGGCCGAAGATCTAACTCACTTCAGACTTTTCCATAACATTCTGCTTAATAAGCTGTACCTGTGAAGATCCGGGTTGAAATTGATCCTCGGTAACCCATTCTTGTCATGAGACGCCATCGGGTGGTCACGATCGCTTACTTGGTTGATACATAGACGCCCATGATATCAATCACTGGATTGTCTGGTCCAGACTCGATTATCTACAGACTGTCGTCATACAGCTGGAACATTGCTGAGCCAATTGTGAAACATCAAACAAAACAAAGCATGTATATAGAGACACAACTGAAATTATGTTTAAGGTGGCGTAACTCGCTTATAGGTGAGATAATAAAATACATACTTAAAATACACAAGGAAGTGTCTTCTGAAAATGTTAGAATACCGATTTGTATTTATTGCAGCTTTGGTTGACGTACCATGAGAAAGACCGAATTCCCCTGTGCATCGCTGAAAGCCTTAAGAAGTTACAGTTGGACTATGTGGACATGTATCTTATCCACTTTCCTGTAGGACTGAGAGTAAGTGTTGTTCCACATCATGACAAATCAGTTTCTATGGTATCTGCATTTACTTCATATACCAATATGTCAATGCTACTTTCTGCAGTACTAGATGGTTTTCAGCTCGTCTATGACCATCTGGCATCCGAAGAGAAGAACTGGAATATCCATACTTTCAAAAATACGCAACTGACATTTAAATGATAAATTGAGTCTCCGACCTTGGCATAAAAACTAGAACATATCTTCCAGGCTCTCTCAACCACCATCACACAAAGTAAAATGTTTAGTCAACTTCATTATGTCAAACGGGCTTCAGCTTACTTTGTATTCCAAAAACATCACTCCAGGCTTTCCTTTACATTACGTCCATATGCTCTGATAAAACTTGTATTCCGAAAGAGCTTTAAATTATATTGGCGAAAGAAATAGCTTTCGTTGTGTTCTAGTAAAGACCATCATACATAGTCGGGTTTCAGTTAACTCTCAGTGTGTTTGTACTCTAAAAAACATGGCTTTCCTTTACATTATGTTAATGTGTTGCAATAAAACTTAAATTACAAAACAAGCTTGTACACTATGACTATATATTAATTCGGTGATTTATTTTCCTAAAAATGTTTTTATTCGTAGTACTTTTGTTCTTTTAAATTTCGGCTTAATTTGCCTACAATCGCCAGCGACTGAAGGGATGGTGTAAATCCAGCTAGGGTCCATGCAGGTAGCAAAGGTACTGTAAGTCCCCATGGTCCCTAGCATGGTGATCTACCTTCAGTTATTCGCGATCTATAGCCTATATTTATATTGTGTTGTCCTCTATAGTTAAAATGTTTTAGATTTAATTACTAGTTTTACATTTACATCTGTGACATTTTGGTTGTTTTACTGTCCTTCATTGACAGGATTATATAACCTATCTTTAATTATTCTTAATCTATAACTTGTTTTAGTCACGATATGGCTGAAATATTGCCAAAGTGACTTTAATTTTTAACTCACTCACTCACAAAAACTTTTTTTTTTAAGGTTTACAATAAATTCCGTTGGTATTCCGTGGTAATTCTCAGATCTTTCTCAAACAGGAAACGGGCAAAGGAGAACCTTTACCACTGGATGAAAACAACAAACCTGCATTCCAGGATGTTCTCCTGACGGATATGTGGAAGGTCAGACATCTCCTCGGACTAATTCATACTGTGTTAGTTTTCTGGGGAAAATGTAAATGTATACATATATGGTCAGAAGTTCTACAAATGTTTTGTTGTTGGATGAATGTAAGACCCGTGAAGATCCGGGTTAGAATTGGTCTTCAGTAAACGTTGCTTGTCGTAAGAGGCGACTAACGGGAGCGGGTGTCAGGCTCTCTGACCGGTTTGACACATGTCATCGTGTTCCAATTGCGTAGATCGATGCTCATGCTGATTGTCTGGTCCAGACTCAATTATTTACAGACCCCCGCCATATAGCTGGAAAATTGCTGACTGCAGCGTTAAACAACAACCAACCAACAAAGATGAATGTAAAAGGGAATAGGTGCGCTTCCTGAAAGGTGAAGAGGATTTTCTCCTCTTATATATGATGCCTTGTCATTGATGACATAGGTATGAAAGTGTGAAATTATTGTTTATTCATATTACCTGTAAACTCGTTTCCTGTTATTAATATGCCCAAATGGCTGTTCAACCTATTTAAATGACAACATGTAACGCAATGGTCTTTTACAGGGGATGGAACAGGTGGCTCGTAGTGGCCAAGCCAAATCTATTGGTGTCTCAAATTTCAACATGGAACAGATTGAGAGGATATGCAAGATAGCTGAAATAATACCAGCCACAAACCAGGTACAGGGACACTTTTCAATAACATCAATTTGTGTTTTGAGGGTAAAACGGACGTACTTTCTCAAGGAGGAACAGTGCCCCAGCCTTCATTGCCCCTATTGAACATTATGCAAACTGTTTCCACAATTATGAGAAATCCCCTGTATGGTACAGCTCAAAATAGGAAATTATTTTCTCAGATTTGGAAAGTTATCACAATAATACACAATGAACAAGTAATATGAATATTCAGTACACTATGTCATTTATATCACGTTAGATAAGATAAACATTATTGGAACTTTCACATTTGCAGGTTGAGTGTCATTTGTATCTCCAGCAAGAAAAGCTGTTTCAGTTTCTCAAGGAAAAGGGGATAACTGTTACAGCCTACAGCCCTCTCGGTTCACCAACTCGACCAGCTAACATGTAAGAATCTTAACAAAACAACTGTGACTAACCCCATGTGATTCTAGTTGTAAAGTCATTTTGATTTGTTGTATCTGAATTGATGCAGTACATTGACAGTATAGTCCTTTAAAGAAGAGAGACTATGAGCGATATGGAATGATGCCATTGAAACTTTGTAAACCACCACTTTCCACTTCATACACAGAAAGTGTAACGTTACAAAATCACATCACACCTTCATTCTTATCCTCCCACAACCACCATCCCTATCACTTCCACACACCTCACTTGTGATGTAGTTTAATTTACGCAGTCAACACAAAAGGATGCTACGTATAAAGTGTTACGTTTTCTTTCATTTCCTATCAATCATGTTTACTAATACACTGTGTCCACGCCTTGTAAACAGCCTGAAGGAAGGAGCTCCCAGAGTTCTAGATGACCCAGTTGCTAAGGATCTGGCCACAAAGTATAAAAGATCTGTAGGACAGGTATGTTACACTGACATTGGAATGATGTCCACATATGTGCATGTTGTTGTGATATGGAAAGCACGGCCGATGTGAATCCATTTTATTTATAAGTTTATTATTTATGCAGATTCTCCTCCGCTATCTCGTCCAAAGAGGCATGATTGTTATCCCGAAGAGCAGCAATCCTTCAAGAATTCGTGAAAATGTGAAGGTATTGTTCATTCCTTCATCCCATTCCTATCTCAATGCAATTATAAGTTGATTCGTCAAAGTGTTAATTTTGTTTTCGAAAATTTTAATAAAAATGATAAAATAAGTGACTCACTGTCTGTTTTTAAACACAAATATGTCTCGAAAGGAATTTGTAAAATAAGCTCTTCTGTTACTTTTCAAAGGTTTTCGACTTCGAACTGTCTGGCGATGATGTGTCAAAGCTTGCAGCTCAAGACAAGAAACTGCGTTTTTTTACCGGCTTGGAGTAAGTTCAGTTTTAGTCATGTTTTAAAAAAGATAAAGCATTTTTCCTCTTTGTTCACACATGATCAGTGTGTTTGGTTCTATAACAAATATGTTGTTATTCTATATTTAGCATTATTCCAGCAACATCATGACGGGAGGCACCAGAACCAAGCTTACACATTGTTGAGTCACAAAATTTGAAATTAATGGTTACCATCCATTTTCTGGTGATGAGCAACTGGGTTACCCCAACGCATCTGTTGTAATGAATATGGTAATGGTCATTTATGAAAAAAACGAGATATGTCCTTTTTCAACTGAGATTCTTGAACACTCTGAAGATCCTTTTATTGTGCCTTTGATCCAAAAGAAAACTTTTCATTTCAGATTCAAAGGTCACTCAGAATACCCCTTTGACGAGCCTCTCTGAAATGGGAAATCCGGTTCCGAGAAGTCCTTCATTTGGACACAAATATAAATATAAATATAAATTTTCCTAGCAGCATATTCATAAATAATATGGACCTTCATATATTAACGTCGTTGGGTGTTTTTTTGTGTCTAACACATTTTCAGCTTTTGAGGAAGTGGCGAAGTCACTCTACAAACAAAGAACATGTACAAAGAGATAATTCTACTTTTACCATAGTTGACCATGTAGGTATGTGCAGTAGGTTTATAAAAAGAGAAATAATCTGTACTTATAAGAAATCTCTATGATCTTCTCGGGATTAACTCGCACTATGTAAATATCCCTGATGTGTTTTTAGCCATATAAAAAATATATGCATGTATAAATATAGAGTAAGTTCTGGTTTTCTATCTAAGGCTTGAAAAGATCCTTTCTCGTGAGGGAAAGTAATATACTGGGCCCATAGCAAAGGAACTAGGTTCAAATTGACCAGCCTGCTGAGAGGATCGTACCTTTAAGTTTGAAGAGTGTGGGCAGGCAATTAAGAAATGGCATTTTTCTTCAATATCAGTTAGATTGCAGTGTTTACATAGCGATTCTGGATGTGAGTTATTAGGAGAGTATAGTGACCAAGTTTTATTTAAAAAAGGAACTGTACTACATCATGGTTTAGCTTCCTGGGATTTTTTGTGTGCTTTGTGTTATGGTTTTTTGGTTGTTGTTTTTAATTCTCAAGATTTATAATATCACAGATATACAAAACCGTGATACATACGGCTTAAAGTAGTGCAGCTACATGATTTACAGGTAAGATATTAAAAGATTAATATATTCATAACATGCATAATTCATAAATAGATAACGTATAAATGATGTCAGGTACAAATCGATACAGTTTAGAGTGATCTAAGTACTGGGGAGAGAAGGCTCAATTTGTGATTGAAATTATTTATTTTATTAGTTATGTTGATATATGATTTTCCACAAAGTATATTTTTTTTAGAGTTTTTATATATAAAGTTAGATTTGGAAGAATATTTTTAATACTGCGTAAGTGAATATGTCTCTTCGCGGCAATGATGATGTGATTTAGTATTCTGTTTTCATGTGAGTACCAAACCAATCCATGTTTTTTTCATAGTATCAATTGACGGGGATATAAATTGTTATGCAGTGGGTATGTAGTTGTTTACATTAAGGTCCGAGGGAGTCACCCCTAGGACCTGTTACACCATTCTGTTTCTGGCTGGTGGGTCCAAATATAATCTCACAAGTCGGGAAATAGGGGTCAGCTTGGCTCTTGTTCTGGCTTACCTCTGGTTTTAATGCACAAAGCGTATTAGCTCGGGTAGTATATTTTATAGCCTTGCTCCTAGGATTTACTGGATGGATGTATAGTAATTCTATCCTTTAAAGAGGCAAGTCTAGATTAGCGGACAGTAGAAGGGCGCCAGTCTGTTATTTACATATTTCTTTTAGAAATTTTCATTTAAACTATTTATTTTTACTTTAAAGACTTGTGTAAGTCTATATATTTCACAGCCCTTCTTTATAGTAGTTAGTAAACAGCTAATCTTATCAGCACTGCCACGCACCATTTTCTTGATACAAGTCAAGATGTGTTTGTTTGTTGGTTTGTTTAACTTTATCGAATCAATAATAATGTGTGTTTGTACCAATTTTATTAACACCTTTGTCTCAGAGGCACATCTTCGTGACATATGTTTATGAACCAAATAATTGTGATACCCGGTGTACCTGTAAAGATTAACGTAGCTCGGCCTACCTATGGTAAACGTCATAAACACACGAAAAGGCAAGTCAGTTGTTCATCTGAGAAAACACGGGAACATGACTGAAGTCAACATAGGGAATTGAGGTATTTTGGTCAATAATGCGTCAACTTGGAAATGAACGCTTCATGATTACCTTTGATATAAATGAATTTCCTCTTTCAATCATTTAAGCAACTGGTAACAAAGGAGACCAGTGAATATATATCATTGGTTTCATTTGGAAAGATGGACAGATGGATGGATGGATGGACTGACTGACTGAGTTTGGTTTTACGCCGCTTTTAGCAATACTCCAGCAACATCTCGGCGGGGGACACCAGCAATGGGCTTCACACATTGTACCCATGTGGGGATTCGAACCCGGGTCTTCGGCGTGACGAGCCAACGCTTTAACCACTAGGCTACCCCACCGCCAGATGGATGGGTGGATGGATGGATTGTTGTTTAACGCCACACTCAGCAATATTCCAGCTATATGGCGGCGGTCTGTACATAATCGAGTCTGGACCAGACAATCCAGTGATCAACAGCATGGGAACCGATGACATATGTCAACCAAGTCAGCGAGCCTGACCACCTGATCCCGTCAGTCGCCTCTTCCGACAAGCATGGGTTAATGAAGATCAATACTAAACCAGATGTTCTTAATATGGGTATGTAAGGATATTAAATGTAGCCTAGTTGTTGTTAGTTCAAATAAACATCGGTGATTGAAATTAAGTTTATAATAATACACGATCGAAAAAATCAATAACATGACACGCCACGGTGGATTTTACCAGTGTTATGTAGTGCAATAATCGGGCGCTCACCTACAGACATGGCTACACAGTCTCAGACAATGGCCAGTGTTAGGAACATAACACCATACCATTTGGTAATATGGTTGATCAATGTTTTATATAAACATAGTCATTGCCAAAACCCACAACTAGCAACAGGAATCAGATAAACTCGTCCTAACAAGTAAGTGACAGTAGTATCAGTTTCATGTGGGTTGCTGTAAGCGAAGCAGGAGCAATAAAGACATCGGATGATTACAAACAGCCTGTGTTATGTTGATGCACATGTTAAGATTGGACCAAATAAACTTGCTCGAATGCTTTTCGTAGCCATCCCAACATGTTTGTGTGTTGGATAGGACTGAGGAAACAGCCAGCCATGGCAGTACATCGATATTTCGCAACGTTTGACAGGCATTACCGTGCTACCACGCGATGTAACGTCCTTGTATTGGAACAAAAGAATTTGACCTCGAACGATCGTGATCTCCAATAGATTGTAATTTCATCCTATACCACGACACCTCAACACCCAAACTGACGGTGTTAGGAAGGTAATGCGTGGCTGTGACGTTATCCGTGACGGCTGTAGACCTATGCAGCTCCATCGGAACTTTCCAGGTGCACCATTAAGTAAGCTGTGACTGATTGATTGAGTTTAGTTTTAAGCCGCACTCAGCAATATAACAGCTATATGGTGTCAGCTTGTAAATAATCGGCTCTGGACCAGAAAATCCAGTGATCAACAGCATGAGCATCGATCTACGTAGCTAGGATACGATGACACGTGTCAACCAAGCCTGACCATCCCGTTTGTCGGATCTTACAAGCATAGGTTACTGAAGATTAATTCTAACCCGAATCTTCACGGGTATAAGTAATCTATGCACTGTCCCAGTATGGCCTTCTAAACCATGCAAGGCGTACCTGTTGTGGCTTGGAAGCCAAATATTTTTTATTGTGGCGCTGAACGTTGCAACCGGATGCTGAGCTCTCTCAACCGGTTGTGTACGGTCCTGCCATTAAATGGTCTCAAGCCAGGAAGTGTCTTACCTTGGCAGTTTGGTCCCGACTCCTTAGATGCACCAACCGAACATGGTTGACGGTTGACGTGACGTAGCACGAGGACGACGGGGTCATGACAGTTCACATGTGTTGTCCTGCTATAGATAACGATTGATGATACTACTGTATTACCATGAAAGTTAATGTGTTCTGCACCATTCCTGTTTGCAGCATGCCCTCAGCACACCCTAAAAGTGATCTCATGTGAAAAAAGATAGCTAAGTACTTGTTCAGTGTGAGCATTTTATTTCCAACAAATATTCAAACATCTAATTTGGAGTGGGTGATTTTTACATAAATCCGCACAATGTATTAAAAGATACATTAGCTAATTTCAGATTAAGCTTACATTATCGGACTTTACATGAAGCATAGTCACTTTATATCATAATGCATAAATTCTACATGTGCCTATAGGGCAGTAACGATGCATCGAACTGTCGATTGTTGAGCCTCCGATAGCAATTAATCGATGGTAGAAACGAAAAACTATCGATGCATCGATAGTTGTTTGACTATCGATAGTTTAGTAATTGACTTCCATTGATCAATGAGCTGCGCAAAATGCAGGATGTTTGGGTTCAGACTTGCAGCTTCATTGAGTTCATGTTTTGGCTATTTACTTGAACTGGGTTTCTTGAACAAGTTTTTTTGTCGGTTATTCAAAGAGACTGAAACTACTTCAACTTGTTTTTATTTCATATGAACTATACAAAGTTTGGGAAATGACTTCAAATGAGATTATTCAAGCAGAAAATAAACTATTGCAATACTTGGTTGCAATAGACTATCCCTATCGCAATAGTTGTTCCCCACTCAATAGTCACACACACCCTGTAAATTCACAATCAGCTTGGCTTCAGTAAGTCTTTCGAAGAAGCTAGAGGTTCTCTTCAGGTGTTCTTCCCATTCCATGAAGGTGGCTTGAAGTGTCCAAACGGTATGACACAAACACTGCAACCTGCTTGGTATGTGCTGTCAGTCTCAAGAGTCTGTCACTGCCCTTCATTAAGTCCAACTTGCTGACGTACTTGGCTTCACTGACTCTGCCGATGCAGTCGTAAAATCTTGGAACCGCGTACCTATTTCAGAAACAACATGCGCACCTGCCATGTTACAGCATTTGTAACTCCCGTTAGGCTTCGACACAAGAATACAACGTATACTCCAGTAAATTTGACTTCGTTCAATAATGTCCTTGTCAAGCAGGTACTGAACCCCCAGAAACAAGCTAGCAAACTCTTGACTTAACCCTGATAGTTAAGTTTTATGCTCAGTTAAATTACATTTGCCTGGCTCCATTACTTTTCAGGAATAGAGCGATGTGTACCAGTTTCAAATTAAAGCCTTCATTTTGTCGTTTTGACATTTAATTTTGATAACAGA